AATAAGAGAAAAATGGAAAGGCATTCATTCGCACCCAGTTATTCCACCCATGCACTGCGATACTATGAAACCTAAGACTTTCTAAGAATAATGCGTGAAACTTGCTGCAGAGTGAATCTGGCAAAGGAAAAGGTGCAAGAAGAGGCGCGAAGGTGTTTACTTTCTTTAAGATACTTTATTTTTTCAAAATTGTGCCTTTATTACAATAAAGGGATCTGCCAGGTCATCCATTTGTGGAAATAAGTGTCTTGAGGAAGTTTGGATATCACAAACCCAGTAGGTGCACAGAAGCTCCAATACACATGTAGTCGTGGTAGAGGGGGCATCGGGTGAAGATGACAGAATTCCTGCCTCTGGGGAACGGTGTGGGGGTCATGTCGAGATAGGGGCACCACTTTGAGNATGTAACAGCAGTAGCAAGACACGGCTAGTGTCTGAAAGTCTCTTCAGTCCCTGTTGTTCTCATGAAACTTTAAAGAAGGAAGCGGAACCTGAGTCATACAATACTGTCATAAGATTAGCTACGTGAAACCACTGTGGCTTCAAAGTTCTAGTTTAAATTATGACATCTTCTTTGTTTGGAGGTCTGTTAAGTGTCACGTCTCCTTTCTGTTAAAACTCAGATAACCAAAACAGTTGTGTGAGTAGCAGCCACTCCAGAGTTGCATGGATCGGGCTTCCAGTCCTCAGGTAGTCATGGTAACTTTTTCTACCTACCACTGTCGATTAACTGTTAGCACGAAAGCTCATTTAACTTTAGGTTTGTCCTCGGTGGATGAGCATTAGCCCCAAATTTCAGAAAGCATAGTATGGAAGTTACATTTTTCTTCCCTAAGAAAAAAAAAATTAAAGAAGGCTAAATCTATTTTCTGTAGCAAGTTTTGTTGAAACTTATTAAGATCCACAACCTGATTCTAATGGAAATAAGATTTCAAAGAAAATGTGTTCTAAGGACATACAAAACTTATTAAAAGCAAAATGTTTGTGCCATGGAATAAGTTAAACAGTTCAACATCATTAACACAACTGAATAAGATATATAAATAACAGTTGTCTCATTTAATTGATTTTGGCCCACGATTAAATGACATCCACCTTTAACATTGATTAAATCTATTTCATTAACATATACATGCAGTCAGTTACTTGTCCTTTAAATATTTCTCACCTTTCTATAGAGATAAGTGACCACAAAGTTTTTTTCTCTTCAGAGCAATATCCAGTGCATGGCAGGTTGATTGCATATCCATCTAAAGATGAGAATAATTAAATTCTTATACCTTGTCTAATCTAATATGATTGCTTTACATATAATAACATAGAAAGTCTTCAATGAGAAACATTTCATTTAATAAAGATGAAATTGCTTCAGAATCTGGTTGAAATACGTCAGTGAAATGCATTCTGCCAAGCTGCTAAAATTGCTTTCGGGAATCATTCCAAACAAAAAATGCTCTCATTCGAAGGAGAGGCGTGTCTTTCTCCTATTTTTCTGCATGTTAAAAATTTTAATTGTAGCCCCTTAACTCATGCTTCACTTCATTTTGAGGTTTTCCAGATCTTTAGAAAGATGTGCATTACATTCTTTTTTTCTTACTGTGATACATTGGAGTATATTGACTGGAGCTTTTACCTCGTCAAATTCACTGCACTCTGCTTCCAGCAATTAATTAGTCAGTTACAGACCAGGTTTAACTCTACTACAACCTACTGGGATCCCCAGACACCCAGGACACTAAGGAATGAGGGGTAAGGACACAGGCAGATGTGCTAAAACAACTGAGAAAATGGGAGGGGATGACAAAAGCACCAGGTTCAGGGTGAGGACAGCTCTTCTGCCAGGGGAAGGGAAGAAATAAATAAAT